TGTTGCTCTCTCCAGTGGGGAAGCCCTGTACCCCACCTCGGACAGCCTCCTGCACGGCAGCCACGTGCCCTCCAAGGAAGGGGTGGACAGGATGGTGGCAGACCTGGAGAAACAGTGAGTACTGGGGAGAGAGGGGCTGGGACAGGGCTGGGACAGGGAATGGGCTGGGACAGGGAAAGGGAGAGGGTTGGGACAAGGACTGGGACAGGGAATGGAACAGGGGCTGGGACTGGGAATGGAACAGGGGCTGGGACAGGGCTGGGACAGGGAATGGGACAGAGCTGGGACAGGGAATGGGACAGAGCTGGGACAGGGACAGGGACTAGGACAGGGCTGGGACAGCAACTGGGACAGGGCTGGGACTGGGACAGGGTTGGGACAGGGACTGGGAATGGAACAGGGACTGGGAGGGCTGGAACCGACTGGGAGAGGGACTGGGACAGGGACGGGGACAGGGCTGGGACAGGGACGGGGACAGGGACTGGGGATCCATCCTGCAGCCCCCAGGGCTCAGCCCCTGCCCCCCTTGCAGGATCGAGAAGAGGGAGAAGTACAGCCGGAGGCGGCCCTACAACGACGACGCCGACATCGATTACATCAACGAGAGGAACGCCAAGTTCAACCAGAAGGCAGAGAGGTTCTACGGGAAATACACAGCCGAGATCAAACAGAACCTGGAGAGGGGCACGGCCGTGTGAAAACCGCCGTGTTCTCTCACAATTTCAAATTGTATCCAAAATATTTTGTAGCTGTCGCTGTCTCAGCTCAGTGGTGTGTAATATACCCGAATTAATTTGCATATTCAGCTATAAATAGCTTTTAGTGCAGGTGGAAGCAGCTTGTGCCGTTTGTGTTCTAAATAAAGATCTTTTAGTCTAATTTGGGAGCTGCTGTTTGTTCTTCAGGAGGTGTTTATCAATAAAATGAAACAACAAAGTGATGTTCCCATGGAAAGGCAGCTCCCTCACATGCCAAAGTCTCACCCACAGGGATAAGAAAAACACGGGATCCTCCCACCCATTCAAGGGTTTTTTTAAAGAATCTTCCAGACACGAGTATTGAAATTCAGTTTATTTTACTAATAATTAATTGATACAAACCCCAAGTTTAACCAGTTATTCCCAGTGCATGCAACAGCCCCTTTTCTCCAGGAGCTGAGGTCTGGAACCCTCCAGCCCCACCTTTTCCTTCCTCCTCCCAGGCAGCCTTTGGAGGCTGCTTTTAAATAAACATTATCCTGTCCTGACTCCAGTTCAGCATCAGCAGAAGGGACAATGTGACAGCGGGGAATGCTCATGATTTCTGTGGGAATCTGGTAGAAATCCTTTTTGGAATTTTTCCACTTCCAGAGGGGTGCCCAGGGAAGGAGAGGCCCTGAACAAGGCAGGATTCGAATTCAGGATGATGCAACCTGGGGAAGTGAACACTAAACCTGCAAATAACCACGTGCAACACAGGTCTAACACTTGACACGCTGAGCCAGTGCAAAACTAAACTTTATTCACTTGAAGTAAACAGTTACACAATGTAAATCCGGGTGTTCAAAGAACAGCTACTCAACTATGGTTTAGAAAAAGTTACCCACCTGCAAGGTCTAGTCCAATAAAGCAATACAAAATATTTACAAATATACACAAGATTCCCATCTGTGGCTTCTGGATCTGTGTGCTCTCTATCTGAAAGAGAAACCTAAGATTCCAAAAATTAAGACCTCAATAAATACTCAGTATTAACAAATCTTCAAGCCCATCAGAAATCTCCATTTCTCTACTGAGGGGTGTGAAGTGCTGCAGTTCTGACAGTGGTTCCCATCAGCGTGCCCGGAACAGGGAGCTTTTGGGTGAGAAGTTCAGGAATGTTTTCTTCTCCTCTTTCTTGACAGGAACCCACTGCCCATATGGGCTTCCCTTCCTGTCATCTTCTCTGGGTGGGGAAACCACTGGTTCCTTAACAACAACATGGCTCACTGGCTTCTGCAGGGCTGGCTTGGCCATTGTGTTCTGAAAAAAAAGAAAAAAAAAAGATATTTCCTCTAAGAAATGGTGCTAAAATTTGTCACACATCAAGGGGTTTGAATGTAGTGATCCTGTAAATGTTTTGTTCCCAAGCTGTTGGAGTTTCTGATGTTTGTGCTAAGTCCATTATGTGCACTTAACACAGGAGAAAGCAACTTCCTTGTACCCTAAGTTTGCATTACTAAAACATGTTATGTGAAATAAGTGCTGCTTTCAATTAGTTCTAATTCTAAATTGTTGAGTTTGATGGTAAACACCTCTTTCAAACACACTGCTGAAGGTGTATTTGGGGTGCTCCTCCAGGAAAATCATGATCAAACACTAAATTCCTTCTGTTATCATTGTTTTTTTGGGAAAAGCCTGCAAAAGGAAGACTGAAGAGCTGGAGCTCCACGCTGGGAGATCACTTACGTTAGGACTGAAGGAAATGCTCCTCTGAATGGTTGCTCTCTCCACTCCACCCTTGGTCACGTCCTCTGCTGCGCTCCCGGGGTGCTAAAGAAGAGCACACACAGCTCAGGGGGATCCCTCACCAGGGAGCTCAGGCACTCACTACACAGCAGAACTTTCTGGAGAGTGTGGCAGATATTTAATCTGAAGTAGCTGTAAAGCTACGGAGCAGTGCTGAGCCTCACTGAGTGCAGTCAGCATCTGACCAAGGCACTGTGCCAATTCCCGTGGCCATGGAGGAATTCCACGCCCCAGTTAGAGCTCAGAAAGGACTCAAAGGCACAGCACGAGCTGCCACACCAGAGCAGTGACACAGCAAGTGGCAGCAGGTTCTGCACAACCATCCTGCTGAGCTTTGGAGAACAACAATAAACTTATCTGCAAGTGATGCAGGCCTCTTCTTCTGTACTCTCTCAACATCTGGAATATATTGCATACATTTATGAAAGGGATGCCTGTACCATTTGTGTCAAACCCTCAGTAAATTCACTTCCCTTTCTCACAGCAGCAGCTGAGTGATGCAGTTACTGCAGCTTTGTATTTACTGTCACTCAGGTTAACACACCACGACAGAACCAAACTAAAATTCACTTCAAGCTGCTCGAGTTTCTCCCTCCCTTCAATTCACAGCAGCTACAGCCCACAAAGTCCCTTAATTACCACCAGATTTTCTTCCTCATGTCTGGAACCATAGTCATGATTTCTATAAGACAGAAATAAAGTATGTAAAATGCATTGTGTGCTTGGGTATGGAATTTCTGGGAAACAGTTTGTTGCACATGAAAAGCTTTTAACAGTTAAAAAAGGCAGAAAGATTTAACCTTAAAAAAAAATAACCCACACTATTCACTAGGTTTGGCAAAGAGACTGCTGGTTTTAGGTCAGAAAGACATAAACTACTGGAATTAATGGGAAATTTCCCATTAGGAGAACAAGTCAAAGGAACAATTCTGCTCTCCTTCCCCACCTGTCCCTACTGGACACTCAGGGGATCAAACACCTCTGACAGGGCCTTTGTGCTTCCAGCTTAAGGCAAAGCCTCGAGGTTTCTGGAAAAGTTTTTGTTCAGGAGTTTGAACTCATAAGCACAACCTCCATGATTAAACTACAACACAGCCATGCAGACAAGTCTAAGAGGTGTTTACCTTTTCAGGGAGAACACTCCATACTTACCTCAGCTGACTCCGTGGCTTCCTCACGCTCCTGTTTCACAGTTTTGATCTCTTTGGTGGGAGCAGAGATCTTGAGGCTCGCTGGCAGGACAATATTATCTGTTCCCAGAGCTTTGGCAGCATTGGCTTTTGCAATTTCCAGGAGTTCCCTCTTGTCTAAAAGGGGAAGGAATAAAAAACAGTGCTTTGTGTCAGGTTAAAATTCGCATGTATCTACTCAGAGAAACCTAAATCTAATTCGCATGTACCTACTCAGAGAAACCTCAATCTAATTCGCGTGTACCTACTCAGAGAAACCTAAATCTAATTCACATGTACCTACTCAGAGAAACCTCAATCTAATTCGCGTGTACCTACTCAGAGAAACCTAAAACTAATTCGCATGTACCTACTCAGAGAAACCTAAATCTATGAACTGGGACTGATTTGATCACTGCCAGTGCCAAATAATGTTCTGAATTGCGTTTTTTGTTAAATACGTTTGGACAACCACACCGAGGTTTTCTTTCACTTGGGCTTTACAAACCAAGTAAGCAAAGGATAATCTGCCTGGTTCGAACAAAACCCAGTTTTAGTTTTTTGCACAATGAAAGTGAGAACTATTTAAGTACCTTTTTCACTGAGGTGCAGGGGTGAGCGACTGCGAGAGCGYGTGCGGGACCTGCTCCTCCAGCTCCTGTAGGCCTCGGGATAGATGGTTCTGCCAAAGCCGTAGTACCTCCTGCCCCTGGAGCGGGACCTGCTCCGGGAGTAGGAGCGGCGGTAGTAGACCCTGCCGCGGGACCAGGAGCGGCTGCGGGAGCGGGAGCGGTAGCGGGGCGGCGAGCGCCGGTAACGCCGGTAGTGCCGGGGCGGGTAACGGCTCCGGTAGCGCCGGTAACCGCGGGAGCGCGAGCGGCTCCGCGAGTAGGAGCGGGAATAGCGCCGGGAGCGCCGCGAGCCGTTCCTGCGGGGCCGGGAGCGTGAACGGGAGCGGGATCGGGAGCGGCTCCAGCTGCGAGATGAGGATGAGGAGGAGCTGCTGGAGCTGGAGCGGGAGCTGCACGAGGAACGGCTGGAGGAGCGGCTGGAGGAGCGGGCGCAGCTCCTCTTGGATCTCACGGATGATTCTCTCTTCTTGGGAGAGCTGAGGGTCAGGTCGTCCATGAAATCTGTCATGTCGTCTGTTTTGCCAGTGTTTGTTTTTTGTGTGCTCTCAGCAGCCGGCTCTGGTTTGGCTGCTGTTCTGCAGTGCCCGGTTTCTGTTCCTGGAGGGTGGAGAGGGCAAATTCAGCATTTATGGGCATTTCCTCAGCAACAACAAATACGGTGACACACAGGCAACAAAATCAGGGGTAATTACACAACCCAACAATCCCCAGCCATCTCCCTGTAACAACTGAGTTCTGCAATTTCCTCCCTGCAGTCAGTCAGAAAACTGAAATATGGGGTTGTACAAAAGAAGAAAGGCTTCAGTTTAAACTGCGAGTAGTTCTGTGTCAAATTTTGGAGAGAGTTAAGTTTATGTGCATTTTAAATCCGTTTGTAAAAAATGTACAAGTTGATACCTTTCTTCCTCCAAAAAGGAGAAAATCTTGACATTCTTGAAAAGAATTTTCAAGATATTTTATCCTTTATCTATTCTAAATGGAGGACATCGCATCTATGATACAAAATACCACTTAACTTCCACATCAGTACAATTTTTCTGCTACAGTTTTGCGGAGGTTTTTACTCCAACAGGGAGAAATAAAAATACTTTCTAACTATAAAGCAGCTACTTCAAGATCTTGACTGTATCGTGTATAAAACTCCCCGCACACAGCTCCACACACCCCAGCAGTGCGTGCAACAAGCTGCTGTTAAAAACGCTCTACATAAACAAATCCGGGTGATGATTCACCGGCCGTGACTCCAACAGGACGTAGCACTTGTTATATCTCTATATTAATAATTAAAATGGCTGTCCCCGGAGTGGCAGCCATTTTATGGCTACAAAGGTTACTCGGGGCTAAGGATCTTATCACAAGACTTAAGCCCCGAGTTACGTAACCAGTTTACAGTTTAGGGAAGCTTGCTTTAATTGCTTCAACCGCCCTAAATTTTCTAGCTCGTTTTGCCCAGTGCAAGGCGAAATTATGGAGTAAATCTAACCCCTTCACTGAAATCTGTAATTTAAGTTGCATGACGGTTGTGAGACGCACTTTTCTCGCTACTACTCCAGCTAAAGTTTCACTTCTTCACCTCCACGCAAGAACCAAGGTCACAGGGTTGGAATGGTAACACGAGAAATGCCCAAGTGCTGTCTGTTACCGGCAATCCCCTCCCGGCCCGCGGCCAGCCCGGTCCATGGGGGCCCATGGGCGGTACCGGAGCCCCCCGCCCCCGCCGAGCCCCCGGGGGTCCCTCACTCACCGCTGGGCGCCGCCGGGCACGCCCCGCGCTGGTTCCCCTGAGGCACCTGGGCGCTCCTGCAATGACAGAAATAAAAACCCGTAAAACCCACCCTKRAGAGATTCACTGCCCTCACCCCGCMGCGGCCACCGCGATCGGCCKCTCCCTTCTCCGCACCCCCCGATCCGCGCCGYTCCGCCGCCTCACCGGCTCCAGCCGCCCGGGCTGCCCCCGCACGGGTCCTGAGGGGAGAGCCCCGCTTCGTGAGTCACCCCCATAGCGCCGAGAGGCGATAGGGCCGCGTTGGAACCGCGAGAGAGCCGGAGATCGGGACCACCTCCGCCCGCTGCYGCCGCCGCCAGCGACTGAGGGCCGGCCCAGAACCTTCCAGAACGTCCCTCCCGTTACGCAACCCGCGCGCCCACTGCGCACGCGCGGACAGCGGCCGGGCCCCGCCCCCGAAGCGTTGGCCCCGCCCCCCCCACCCGCGCGCTCGGGCCCCGCCCCTCGCTCCTGCGCGCGCGCGCTGCGCCTGCGCGCGGCCGCCGCCGCCGCGTCCCGTGACGGTGCGCGAGGAATGCGCGGGGCGCGCGCGGTGCGGGGAATGCGCGGGAGATGCGCGGGGAATGCGCGGG